GCAGGCTTTCTCAGCTAAAAATGGAGATAAAACTAGAAAGGGAGTTACAAAGAAAATCAGTGATGACCCAAAAATGAGCGTTTAGGCCGACCCAGTATGGCCATGGTTGTTGCTGCATATAAAAAACACACACGCTACCAGGAGTCAAAATTCCAGACAAACACTTACCATTAAACTTATCCATATTTTAAACCAATTAATCTACCTAGTCCTTCATATCCTGCCTTACAGGCTATTTCAAAGTTAACTACAGTCCTTGGCATATCAAGCAAGGGATCCAAAAGGATTTGTGTTTCCCAAGGTTTTGAAGCATTCAAAAGAAACACGTTGCTTGTGCTGAAAGCATGTGTAGTGATATACTCTACCTATTATTTATTTTTACTTAACACAGAGAAAGAGGTAAAACAAACAGAAAGCAGAAAAGGAAGGCAGAAGCAGTACTAAGAAATGCAGAAAGCCAAGAGCTCTAACTGTCCTCTCTTCTGTGCCAGTGTGAATGCCGTTATTCAGTGTTTCAACAAAATTACATTCGGCATGGAATAAGAGAATTCAAATAGGTGACTGAAAAATGCCCGAGTGAGCTAAATCTGAGCTCCTGTCCTGTAGATTAAGTAGCTCCTCTCTGCAGACTAACAAGAAACTGTGGGCATGTAAGCCCCTTAGAGGGTGGGGTAGTCGAACTGGAAGTGCCGTTAACATGCAAACCTGTCATTCTCCTCTAAAACCTCTGAATTCTGCTGAGGATTGTCAGACCTGGGGCTGAAATCATCATTGTGAAATGACAACAATACTGAAGATTCCTGCGTCTGAAAAGAAAATATGTGTTCAAAACATCTGAAAAAGCATTTCAAATGATTTCTTAGTCATGTGAATTTCATATAATTTCTTGTTGGTAGTATTTTCATGGAAGCAACTCTTCTGAGATCCACTTCAAGGACAACAAAACCTCTACATTAAAGATCTCATAAATTCCTTCCAAGGAAATACCTTTCTTGCTAAATGCGCATTAAGAACTGACAGATATGTAACCAATGTACCTTATACGCAACAAGAAATACAATGAACTTTGTATAATTGATGCAGAACTATTCAGCAGTGACTGACTATGCTTCTAGGATTTTAATCCTAGCACCTTACAATTAGCAAGCAGATACTTAATTGCTTGATCCATTTCATTTCTTAAATTAAACTTGTCCATATCATACTATTTTCTCTAAAACTTATGCAAATTAAAATGAACTCAGAGAAATTATAACTGCTCCCAATGTTCAACTCTGACAAAGTCACTGAAGTTTACAACAAATTAAGATGTACAAAGAGACTTTATAGTTATGAGAACGATCATGTTGCTCTGCACTAACATTATGTTAATCTTGAATCCCCCACGAACAGTAGAGCAATGCATTCTCAACCATTTCTGTCTTCGAGACTGACAATACTAGCTTTGTGTTCATGATCTGAACACCAAAAGCAGTATTTTCCAGTTGGGCTTTAGCCACATTCTCTCCTAAAATTGAAGTCATACATATAAAATTTCACAAGATGCTTTGAAAAGTACCCACATCTTCAATGACCTTTGCTTCAAGAAAGACTAGTAAAGACGTAAACTGTACCAAAAAAAATCATGCGACTATGACTCACATGTGAAACTTATGTTAAAGCATACGTCCTCTTAATCTAGTGCAGAGCTCTTCACCCTAGTTTTATACCAGTTTGGGACACCAGTGGAGTTACACTACCTTTCTTTGGTCTTAACGGTCTATTCTTGCTCACACCACAAGGATATTTCCCTGGCATGACAGTAGCACGTTAATATGAAATCTCAGCAATACAGAGATCATAATCAGAAAGTATTTCAGGTCACTGTTTTGATGCAGAACTGGTTACTTCACTGCTATGCAAAAAGCCATTAGCAGAAAACGCTGTTCTATTATTTTTCCATACACGTCCATACATTATAGCTAAATTACATTACAAGATATTACAGAAATTAGTATCATTAGCAATTAGTTCATTGGTGGTCCAAGAAGTAGAAGACAGCACCCTAGATAAAAGAGTAGAGGCAGAAACTTCTCCCCCTTACTGATTTAATTTGAGCAGATTTACACTCTGCTAAGATGCTAATGATATCGTCTGCATATCATTATGGGCAGCAGCAGATTAGCTGAGAACATACTCAATCAGCAAAGACCCAAATAACTGGGAAAAATGACTATTTCTGCTGAGAGACAGAGCAGCTAAGGGAGTATTACGCAAACAGAAAATCAGCATCAGATTCAAGCACAGCTAGAGCAACTGAAAAGGCTTCTATTAAACAGCATCCTTTTCCCCAACGTAGCAATTAATGTAGCAACTCTTAGGCATAACACCTCGCTGGCCACGACGTGCAGCAGTAATGCTGTTCTCTCAGTCTCTCCATTTTTCAGTGTTATTCTTAGTTTACACAGAGATATTTCACCTGTCACGCGACCCTTACTGAATCAGTTTCCCACAGTGAGATGTACTGAAAGACTTTGAAACAAGAATCCTTGCCACGTCATTTAAGAGACACTGAACAGAAATACCATCTTTTTTCATCCCTTGTTCTAACCCACTTTCCAGGCAGAATTGCAAGGTATGAAAATCCTTCACGTGTGTGCATGCGCCTTTCCCCCTGCCACTAGTCAGCCACAGTCTGTGCCCTGCCAAATACTATCAACAGTTTGAAGGATGTATTTGAATGCCCAAGTGAGCTAGAACAGGCAGCCTGACGTAACCGGAACAAAATTATCTATTTATCCTGATACTGTGTCAAATGTAAGAAGTCTCCACCCTAACTTCTACCTACCTGAAACAGTTTTAGGGCACTGAACTCTGAATCCAAGGCAGTCTGTGACAAAGGGGATCTGTATAAATTATTCTCACAGGACACCTGAAATGTAATGGGGTCTTCTCTTCGGGGACACCTTTCTGTAGCTCTGATTTCTTTTTTTTTTTTCTGTTGTAAACGCATTTCAAAAATTTAAAATGAGGAAGTGTAACACATCTGCAAGTCACAAATGACTGCTGCAAATAGGAGACATTTCTCCCCAGGTAAGAAACAGAGCCCTCACGTTTAGACAGTACCTGTAATAATGGAAGAGTGAGATATAGATGACACATCTTTTAAAGTTTTGTTCCTACAGCTGGAATTAATATGACATTTGCCCCCAATGAATTAGACTAAGAGACCCAAATTAATCTGATCTATGCTACCATAAATTCACCAAACGGGTGATTTAATTATTATTGCAGCCTCCCTTCTTACTTTACTGCTGCTTCACAGAGTCAAGACAATATATTTAATTTTCTCACTAAATAGGAGTCAGACTGTAGCCAGATGCACTGTTTGGGTACAGCCAAGTTAAGATGTCCTTAGCTGGCCATCACTGTAGGGTCTCCCCTCACCCTTATCTGGATCTCCTTCAATGTCAAAATGTTTTGGTTGAGTTTGAGAACTGACTATTAAAGTGTTCAAGCTAACCTAGATCATGTTGACAGAACCGCCTGGTGGACAACTACATGTGCTGTTATGCTGGCAGAGCCGAGGAGGCAGTAAATTATGAAGACTGGAAAAGAGGAAAAGTAAAATGCAAAGAGAACATGAATCACCTGCAGTCGAACAATGCACCTGGCTGCAACTCAGTAATGCATTAGTTTACGGGCTTTTTCTGTGCTTACTCATCTTTGCCCAAATTTCACTGAACTACTGAAAATAAGATTCTGTAGTTGCCCAGCTTCTTGGAAGTTTCCATGAGAGCACAAGACCCAGTAGGTCACCTGCACTGCTAGCAGTAGGTAACAAGCTGAAATTCCATTTTGGCTTTTTTTTCCAGCTCTGCCTCCATCTCCTGGTTGAAAGCAAGGAGTTTAGGGTTCTCTCTCATGCTGTGTTGAGAATAGTACTTGGCAGGGTGAAGCCCTGATATGAAAGTCTGCACGCATTTACAAATAGACCAAATTTCATGAAGGGTGAATACAAAATCACAGAATCACAAGGTTGGAAAGGACCTTCAAGATCATCAAGTCCAACCATTAGTCCAGCGCCACCAAGTCCCCTAAACCATGTCCTGAAGCGCCACATCCACACGTTTCTCGAACACTTAAAGGTCCAAGTCAGGTTGTATATACTATAACCGAACTGAAGCCTCATTTTGTTTGAGCACATTAGCAAGAGTCTTCTGGGAGTGAAACCATTGCCAAATGGTGCTCTTGGAGAATAGCTAGTTTGGATGACTAGAGCTCAGGGAAGTTAATACCCACCACTGAAAGGAAGCAAGCAGGACAGGACAGAGCAGAGCTGAGAGAAAGGCCACTGGGGAGAGCTGCTCTATAGGCCAAGTAGGGGCTGGCTTTCATAACCAAAAGAAAGCAGAGAGCAGGAGAAAAGCCCTTTGTGATGCTCCGTGGTGAGCCAGTTGAAAAGCCAGCTCTTTCACTCAGCATGCTCCCCTCACCTGTTTCACTCCTGCTACTCGTACATGGCTCTGGAATTGGAGGCAAGAGCTGGAAAACAAAAAAATACAATCCAAAAATACATTTTTTCCACATTAAAAATAAAATACTGAGTATTTATTTATTACGGAGCCATTGGAGTAGTAAACTGTGGAAACATTCTCCTCATAAAATTCTACCACTTTCATTTAAAGCCCAAAGAGACCTCCTCTCTGTAAGTCAGCTCTTACAGTCCTGTATAAAAGCTGTAAGTGATGATGCTGAGAAAAATTTGGCCCATGAAGGCAACCAAGGACAAGAAAAGATGGGGTCAAGCCTACAAAAACCCATAAAGACTATACTCCATCACATAAGGAAAAAACACTGCTTGAAGACTAGGACCAATAAGGGCAGCCAGGCAGAATATGTACCTGCTACAGTTTTGGCAAGTTCAACGGGTCTTTTTGAAAGGAGATGCTGGCCTTTCTCAGACTCACTGGCAGTGTAGGTAATAAAGAGTACATTTCAAATAACATGGATCACCTTACCACTTCTGGAAGCACTTTCTTCGCAAGATCATGGATGGCTTTGATCACAATACATAGCGATGACAGAAGGAATATGACACCCAAGATAACACAAGCTCTGGGGAAAAAAAGAGAAAAATAAAAAGAAATGTTAGGAACACATTTGGAATTGTCAACTCTCCCACCACTGAAGGGTAACGCACAACAGAATATTAATAATAAAAAAATCTTAAGGAGCTAAATAAAGATAGAGATCTGAAATAAAGAGGACAATGAAAAGAAATATCCAGTACCTCTCCAGTTCTTAAAATCTGGATTATATGTGAGAAGACAGGGCAGACCAGATGATGTTTCAGAGTGAGAGAGAAAGAGATGTCCCTTCTGCTCCTGATGATTTATCAGAGAGTCCCCTAGAGGTGTGTTTCATTTTGTTTGTTTTGCTAGGATCTCCTATTAGAAATAATCAAGGGAACTTCATCCCCTTTACTAAACTAGGACAGATGTTTGGTAAATCTGGTCAGTAGCATAAAAGAACCTGAAACATCTGTTTCCTCCCCAAAACTCCAAGAAAAAAAGATTTTAAGTGCGGATATTTAAAAAAAAAAACAAAAAACAAAAAACAAAACAGGTTAGGTGCATCACTTTGTAGACTGTCCAAGGGTCTCAATATCTAAAAAAAAAAATAAGGATCAGAGTCTCATCAGATTAGGTGCTGTGCAGAATTAGACTCTCTATTCCTGACCTGCAGAGCTTACAATCCAGTCTTTTAAAAAGCAAACAAATGGTTTAATAAAGACGAAGTAACAGAGAATAATTAATAGAGAATAAGTTTTGTGTTGGACACAAGCACAATGAGGTTTACAAAGCACATAATGCACACCCAAAACTTCACAGTAAAAGTGAAAACTCTTGCTTTTGTTCAAATGTACAGACCAATACTACTCTGAGATGGAGTTCCTCTTGCCACGAAACACTTCAGGATATAAGGCTTTGATCTGCTCTACACAATAATTGCCAGTCTATTAGAATATCGACACATCCATAACTCCATTTTACTAATAGCTCTTCATACAAAATTCTATTATTATAGTTAGGTATACAGTAAGAGTACTTTTAATGTTCTAAGTATGAAAGTGTTAAGAAGTGGTACTTATATGAACATTTTTTTCTTTAAAAGTTACATTTCCTTTGTTTGTTATCCGTCATTTGGTACCTATCTGTTAGCTCGGGATGCTATAATTACTCCAGTAGCATGCTACTATTTTCAACAACTCAGGCCATCTGGTGGTTGGCAGCACACATAGTGTTCACATCAAGCTCAACCTAGAGACTGCAGCTGAACTGGCATTGCTCTGCCTAGGTCTTTGGCACAGGTGAGTAGCTGGCCATTTTTTTCCCCAACACAAGTGACACTAAACCACGCTGTGGACAATCCATGTAATCCTACAGACAAGTTCTCAGTAAAAGGGCTGTTCTTCTACAGGAGAGTACAGACAATGCAGAGGCTAGCATCCTTCCTAGCAACAGAGTGGTATTGTAGATGAGGTACTCATCTCAGGTAGGCAAAACTCTGCTACACCTATTTTAAGACAGATGTTTAACTCCTTTGTAGTAAATTGCAAAGGATTTTGTTAACTCATTCTTGTTAAACATGATCTGTTGTAAAAAGTAGGCAGAAAAGGCTTGAGACAGTCTGATTACCCTGAAGTTCTTCCCCTAGATTCAAAGACAAGAACAAAAATCTGGTCCATAATCTGTGATAGAGGAAGAAACTCACAGGATGGATTCTCTGCAATCCTGCAGCAAGGGGTGATCATTAAATGGTAATACAGACGGGAGGAGAGTTCATCTCCCAAAAAGAATGAGCAAAATTGAAAATTAGAGGGCTTTCCATTTTCCATTGCATATTTGCAAGCAGGTCACTGTTCTGCAATAGATTCTTTTCAGAGATTTGCAGTTTCACTCTATCTGAATGGATCACTGCAGAGACATCTGTCCGGAGCCTCTTGACCTACTTTTGTCAAACTCAAAACTTTTCGCTACCATCTTTATGTATTACTTCTGTAATAGTTAGCACTGCCATAACCTAAGCAGCTTATACTGCACAACCCTTCACAATAAATTCTGTTGCAATGATTATTTTTCTAGATGAGGTATAGAAACATATACTAAGGGTTCTACTCATTTACCTGGGACAAATGCAGACATTAGGTAACTTGAACACTGAAGTGGTCCACAAAAGTTGTCTGACTTGTCTAAGGCCATTTTCTGAGCCAGGGACAGACTGACATAAGATACATACGCTTCATGCAAGAATATGCTGACATTTCCTCTGAAAGCCACACTAGAAGACAAGCTTTTCTATCATTCCCAGCAGGCTTAAACCAACTTAGTCACAAATCTGTGAGTTGGAAACAACAGACTAAACTTCCTTGTGCCAATACGTTATGTTGAATGCCAAGGGTATGGGAAAGAGAGGAGAGCAAAGCTTCATCACTTTCCCTTAGCATACCTTCTATTCCCTGCACACATCTGAGGAAGACAGGCAAATATTCCCGAAGGGCTTGACAGCAGCCTTGCTGGCACAAGGCTAATGTGTCCAGGGAACCAGCACTTGCCCTGACCACTGGCTGGATTCGGTTCTCACCTGTGTTGGCAAGTTTGGGGTTCTCTCTGCAAATTCTCCAACCACCCAAGCCTAAGCAAATATTTTGCCTCTTAGCCTATGCCAGCAGGTAAGTAATGACTTCAGCAGTCTTGAGCTGCTTCTCTTATTCCTCAGATCAGTTTTACTGTGTCAGAAGAATTCCCATACACCTACCTAACCAGAAATAGCTAAAAGTAGAAAGAAAAAAGGAAGATGTTAATAATGGTGACAAGGGTATTAATAGCAGACAGAAATGCAGTCTGAGGTTTGAATCAGCATTCAGTCATCATATTTAGCAAGGCTAGCTTCTCCTTTATATACTAGCTTTTGGAATCCATAGCCATGCAAAATTCCTGAGTAATAGCATAATACTTTAAGTGCAAAAAGAAATGTTTCTTTCTTCTTGAGTATATTAATTTATTTGCAAAACCACTAGAACAAAATACTGCGTAGTGTCTTCTTTCAACCTCATTTGCCAGAAAAATAATTTCTATCTAGACCGCACATCATGCAAAATTCAACTACAAATGTACAAAATAAGAAACCTCCAAAAATTAACCTGAAATTTTAGCTGTAGTACATAATAAAGAAACTGTAATTGGTTATTGTAAGTTTACTTTATTTTCAAGCCATTAGGCAATGCAAACTTTCATACAAGCCGCTAACAATTACTCAACTGCTTTGTAACTAAATAGTGTTTCCAACTGCACACAAAGGGTGTTAGTACCAAGGTTGTTGGCAAATGCAATTTCATTAATAACATTCAATTAAATTAGATGAGCCAACTGCCATTTCTAAACAAGTTCAAGTCAACTCAGAAGTATCCATAAAAACTGATGAAAGAGGAGTTATACAGAAGTGAGGTTTGACTGACAATCTAGTGAAGCTTTTACAGATACCCCTGGCTTGGAATCACCATAATGTCATAAATGCTTCTCAATCTCCAGGTCCCCTTTGACCATCATCAGCAACTCAGACATTCTGGAGCAACTGGTGGTCCACCTAATGCCTTTATATTTCAGGACATTGGTGTCTTCTTGCTAAGACATATGAGGGTACTGTCTGTCCAGTGACACTCATGATGAACAGATCTCTACATACCATATGCCACCAGTAGCACACACTTACACCTCCAGCACCTATTGATGATCATTTACTTATTTTACAGCCATTTCTACATTAGCATAAGAGCTTCCCACTAAATATCTACTACATCATTAGAGATATAATTGATCTATAATGCAAAATACTTGATCACTACAGGTTTGACAGGCAACAGAAAAGATCTAATGAAGAATGCATGAATCTCCCTCGGTTCCATGTAATATATTGCTTGTAAAAAGAAAGAGGAACAGAGACAATTTAGTTAAAACATTTTAAAACATAATGGAAAACTATTATTTGATTTTCAGAAACAATAAGCTTTCTGGAAATCTTCAGAATGCAGAAGAGTTTAAAGAATAATAGACTAATTCAGAAAGGATAAGGTGAGGGCATGTCTCTGATATGCAGGAAATAATCAACTTTTAGGTCAACTAAAGCTCAAACTTTTAAGGGTTTTTTGAGACCAATGGCACTTGGAATGCAAGAGTAATTAAAACTATATCATTATGTTGTCAGTAAAGAGAATTTAATATTACAATTTTAACAGTCAAACCACCAAGCCTTCTTTAGTTTGCTGTAGGTCTTGGTAGCAGATCATGATCTGCCAAAAATACTTCTTAATGTGTTTTTGATGTAGTATTTGTATCTGAAAATCCAGAAGATAAAGTATAATTCACTGTTTTAAAAAATGAAATAATCAATTTTGTCAACTTTTCAATATAACTACGTCCCAGATAAAACATACTGTTAAATCAGTTGTACTGCAGCCTCAGGCAATGAGAACGAAATTTTTTGTACTTTCAAAACCACCAAAGACTTTATACAGCTTTTGAGCTTCAGTTACTGCTAGTTCACTTCTAGTAGAATTCAGAAACATGATTATGGCTAAATCCTAAAAACGAAACCCGATTGTGGCTAAATCCTAAAAACGAAACCCATGTCTCCAATCTAAAACTTGGTTCTGGGTATGGTACAACTTGACAATTTCCAAAAGACATTCTTCTGAGAACAGTACTACAACCCGTATACAACCCATTTATATTTACGTCCTATAAATATCCATTTTGTATTACACCAGTCCTGGATATTTGCACTCACACCCATCAAAATACAAGATCACTGTAACTGTATTACATGACAAACAGCTGCCACCTCATCTTTTCTGTAACACATTCCCTCTATGGAGCTCTAATAGACACAATTCTTCATTTTGAGGAGAAATTCTCACAACTCATAAGGAAACCAGAAAAGGAAATCTATCACTGTAAGCAACTGATAGTCTTTCCCTTAATCAAAAATTTGTAACTTTGCATAACTTAATGGCTTTTACACAAGTACCTATGAAAAGTACTGAGCTTTAGGGGGTT